ATGATTCACCTAGATAATTAACCTAGTAATATAATTACCTAGTAACATGATTTACCTAGTAATATGATTTACCTAGTAATATGATTTACCTAGTAATATGATTTACCTAGTAATATGATTCCCTAGTAATATGATTACCTAGTAATATGATTTACCTAGTAATATGATTACCTAGTAATATGATTTACCTAGTAATATGATTTACCTAGAAAGATCATTTACCTAGTAATATGATTTACCTAGTAATATGATTACCTAGTAATATGATTACCTAGTAATATGATTTACCTAGTAATATGATTACCTAGTAATATGATTTACCTAGTAATATGGTTTACCTAGTAATATGATTACCTAGTGATATGATTATCTAGTAATATGATTACCTAGTAATATGATTTACCTAGTAGTATGGTTTACCTAGTAATATGATTACCTAGTAGTATGATTTACCTAGTAATATGATTTACCTAGTAATATGATTTACCTAGTAAGATGATTACCTAGTAATATGAATATCTAGTCATATGATTACCTAGTAGTATGATTACCATCAAAAAGTATATGATTACCTAGCAACACCAATCATGTTTTTGGTTCAATTCGCTAGTAATACCAATGCTGCTTATAATGGTTTTAACTTCACAAGTGATACCAATCATGGCTCAAACATGGTAAACATACCTCACTATCTACAGAGGTCGTGGATATTGATCCTTTCTGTGAGACCAAGGTAGGCTATCCCGAGTAGTTTAAGTCACCCTCAAGGGGAATCACTTGGTACAGCCGCGACCGGCCTGAGATGATATCGAGGACTCTGGGTAAATCAACCCCAGGACTGCGCACGAATTGCGCGTGTAATGATGCAATGACATGGGTGTGTCTGCTTTTTAGGGAATATCCCAAAATGGTGGTTGTCCTGTTGGTGGGCTTTGAGACACCACACAAAAAGAGTACCCTCAAAAAGAGACAGACCCACATATGGGTCAACACCATGCGCATGCTCCCATCAACAGCATCAAGTGGCTTTCACGACACACAGCTCTTGCTGGGACGGATTTCAGGTTGCAGTACCTGGCGACAAACAACATCTTGACGAGTGGCACTAGGCATTGGGGGTAGTTGCTGCTGCTGCTGCTGCTGCTGCTGCTGCTGCTGCTGCTGCTGCGGCCCTATTGTACATGCTGTGATTGTCGCTGCTTCTGGCGAAGCTGGCTTTGGTGGTTGCGGTAGTCTTGCTGCTTCAAAGCCATCCCCATTTCGAACCAACAAAAAACATGCCCCCTCCATACATGGTTTCCCGAGGGAGCATGTATCGGGAATGGCCCAATGCCCTTTGTTGTGTTCCGTTTTCCCTTCGATATAGGGGTTTGGGTCAAAATTAAAGCACCAGAAAACCGCAGGTTTTAGTCCATGTTACCACTTACAGGGTTCAATTTAGGGTACCCATTTTTGACCCGCAGCCATGTGGTTTCCCTTTTGATTGCTCTTCATCTTCGGGGTTACCAGGGCTTGCGCCATTTCGGGGTGACCCGATTTTTGACCAAGGCGATGGCCCTATCGCCTCCAGCAGTCGAGTGCCGCCCTTGGTGAGCTGCACGACTCTGCTGGCAATCTCCTAGGATCGCTGGCCTCCAAAAACGGCGGCGGGCCAAGAATGGGTACCCAACATGGAAACAAGGACGAACATCTGCGTTTTTTTTTGGTGGTATTATCCTTTGAACCCATACCCAAGTACCCAAACATACCCAAACAAAGTGACTGGTAGTGAGGCACAATGTGACGGGTAACTTGGACTTGATTGAACAGCCCTTGTACATGCGCCTCAAGTCATGGTGTTTTCAACATCTTGAATCTTGATGCCAAAATGTTCACTCAGCAACAGGCGGAGGGAGCACCGATGGTTTTATTGTGTTGCTGAAGTTTTCACGGAGAGCAAGCCGAGCCATAGCTGTTCACTGAAGTTTTCCAACCATATGCTGAGGCAGAAACTCGTCGACATGGCTCCACATCCCCTTGTTTGACTTGGTTTAACACCCTTCATAAGAACCTCAAGGGAAAAGGCACCAATATTTGATTCAAGTTAAGCAAATTCGAATATGTTCAGTGTGAGCTGCTTCGACGGGGGTTTCCAGGCTAGGGGTCCTTGGTCCCTGAGCCCTGATTGTTTCAGACATTCGAAAAGGATCGCCCATGCGGTCGGTCCTTTGGCAGGAGAACGTGGCGATACTCAAACTCCTTGTCTTCATACTTCTCCTGCATCAAGTGGGTATGGGTCAAAATACAACCACCAGGGGACCGCATGTTTTAGTCTTTGGCTCCATTTACCAGGTTTCCATTTTTGGGTACGCATTTTTGACCAACAGCCAAGTGCGGGCTGACGCCACAAAAGCACGGTCAACGTTTGCAAAGCATGCATGCACATCGCTTCAGGATGAAGACGTGTGTTGCGAATATGCAACTGAAACTTCGCCAAAGGAATCGATGTCAGCTACCTGAATTGCTGCTGGCGAAGATGCACCTACTGATTTTCCGTTGAAATTGCCAGTGTATAACTCACATAATCCAACTGTCCGCAAAACAACGTTTCCGTAACATGAAAGATGTTCCGACAACACGCAAACCCAGCCCACATGCCCAAATCAAAAAAAACAAGCATTACCTCTCTCTTTCTCTTTCCTTGTGCAAGTGTCACGTGGCCAACACAAGGTGTAGGCAACTTTGACAAGGGCAAATACCACGCTCATCTATGTCCATAGCATCATCATACCAAGCAAGTTTTGGTAAAACGACTCAGCTTTGTACTGTCATGATCCCTAGAAAACAAGAAAAGAAAACAAAAACACAAGAAGCAAAACTAATGGACGTGGTCACCGCCTTTTACAGCAGCCCCTGTTTACGCTAGCATCACCCGGCTGTAGGAGTGGGGGGGGGTTGTTGAAGTCTGCAATCTGAAGCCCCCATGATCCATGGGTCAATGTAGCTGCGCCCTAAACCCATTGACTGCTGGTTCTACTAACAAGGCTGTAAAGGTTTATATGAACATTATGAACCACGGTCAAGACTACTTGCTTTTTCCCAAGAGGACATGGGAAACAAATTATTGTCCGTCAACGTGTTCCCAACTGGCCCACTCGATCTAAGCGGCCCCCTTTAGCAGTCCGAATAGCAAATCTCATTCGGGAAGGTCGGCATGGGCCTGGCACTCTGGTTGCCATGCAGGCGATCGAAGAATCAATGGAGCCCCAAAGCAAAAACCGGTTTCAAAGCAAAACCACCGGTTGAGGAAGTACATCATGTATTTACATGAGGGCCAGGTTGGAACAAGTAGCCTTCATTAGGATTGAAAGTCTGAAAACTGGCTGGTGGATCATCGAACGGGCCTCTAGCCTTCGCACAACGCCGAAAAAAAGTTGAAGAGTCTTAAATGCGCAAGACTCTTGGCGTAATGCGAGGCCGGGGCGCCGAATGGTGCGGTTTCCGCATTCCGCACCGCACAACGGAATCAACATGCTGTGTATCGCAGAGATCACGGCTCCAGTGGACTTTCATAGGACACGAAGGTAACCCTCTACGGAAATTGCCCTCATTTTTTGCATGTTGGTTGATTTTGGAAACCTATCCCCCAAAAAACTAACAACGGGTGCCACGAACATGCCAAAAGGAGCTCACTTTCTGGCCCACAAGCTGATCAACAGGCGACATATGGCGGTGTCTTCTTTTGAGGTGTCCTTTTCTTCGGCTGGTTATCAAGGGACACCTGGAAAACCACGTGTTTTTTCCACTTTTTTGGGGGGGCGGGAGGGGTACTACGGTACGCCGGTTTAAGACACGCCCAAAGGGGCGGCCTGAAGAGTCCCCGCCTTCGGGGTCAACTTGCCGTGCGCGCGGTCGCGCTGAATCGCCGCGTACGCTGAAGCCGGGCCCGAGGCTGCGGAGGCGAAAGCGGTCTCAGGTCGCATGCGGCTGCCTCAAAATGGGGTGGTTCTTGTGCTCCCAGACATAGTTTGTTTGTTGTTGTTTTTTTTGAGGGGGTTGTTGTGGTCTTGCAAATTTGAAATCAGCAGAATCCGAAATCATGAACCTTGCAAGAAATCTATGGACCTTGCAACGGCCCCATGCACATCAAGCGTGCCATCTGTACGTGATGCCCAGGACCATGTCTTGACGGGCAACCATTGCAACTTGGTTGTTCACCCGCGCTGAGTCTGCACGCCATCTGGCCATGGTCAAAATCCCGTACCCCCAGCGAACTGAAATAGACTAAAATGGGTACCATTGGTTTTGACCCACAGGCATCTAGACCCTCAAGAACGTCGTCCTTTGATTGCAGTCCGCAAAGGGGTGTGGGAGTAAACAGGTTCCCTTAGTGGTCCAACAGGTTCCCCAAAACTGACCGAGCCACTTATGAATACTGTACGCGACAGGCTGTTTAATCTATGTGTTGATTGAAACTGCAGCCAACATTGTTCAAGCTCGGAGTCTGCCTCCGCAAGCAAACATGTCTTTGGATCTTGGATCCCGGTTCCTGTGTGAGTCTTATGTTTCAACGACCAACATCATGGCCTAGCCAGACATCACGATATGGAACGCGCGGGGAGCCTTGGAACCATTAGTTCCGTCTCAAAATAGGGAGGATTTTCTCCCTCAGATCTCCCTTAACACAAACAAGGCACCCTCAACAAGCTACGTGTCCCTTCAACACCGCCCAAACAAAAAGGAGAACCAAAACTAGGTCCTCCAGTAGAGAGGTTAGAATAAGGGTACCCTTTTTGCTGTAGTCTATTGTAGTAGGGGAACCCTCCCAACCAAGAAAGGGGTCAGAAAGGGCACCGGACCGCTGGGGGACCTAGAAGGGGACCCCAAGAACAAGCTCATCAAGTGACCAACAGGTGATGCTTACGCAGCGCTGACCCGGGACTGTCTGACTTACTGCAAGGGCCACAAACTTGAGTGACCTTCAGACTCCTCCAATCGGCTTGGTTCACTGTGGCTGCGGCTTTCTCGCCATCCTCCTTGGCCAGCTGGCGCACATGGTCCTCGATGGCCTAAGGTTCAACACTCCAGGAGGTTGGTCAAAGTACAGCGGCTTAAACATGCTTGAACAAGTTTGGGTGGCTGGTTGGAGTCCGGCAAAAACAAGCTTGCGGAGGAAACGGAGCTTGGTCAAACTACCCAGAGGCTCTAATTCGATCCATGGGACCTCAAACAGCCACGTTTTGAGACCCCCAAACACCTCCAGCGTGTCCAATGGAGGGGTCGGGTCTTCCATTGAAAGCCCCAGGAGCCTCTGGGTACAGTGGCTTAAACATGCTGGAACAAGTTTGGTTGTCTTGCTGACTGGCTAGTTGGAGTCCGGCAGGTCACTGCAAAGCGCTGGTCAACACGCACCATTTACCAAAGTAGATGGCACAAAGAGCCGGAACTGGGGGATTGTACCATCTACTTTCACCCATCTTTGCTACCCTGTAAGCATAGACCCCACAGCAACGCCCAAAAGGTGTCCTCTATGATGGCTTGGATCCGCTGTCCAAACCACCCCACTAACCCCTCCCCGGTTTGCTCCGGCCAACTACAGGCACTCCCGCGGCAGCCTGCCTTGGAATGATCCGCCTTTCCCAGACTTCAAATAAGCAAAATGATACCAAGGCCTAAAGGTCGAGGGCGGTGATCAAGGCAGGAGCCCAACTTGACCACCTTTGAATACCTTGAACGGGTACAATAGATGTCTATGGAGTGAATCGGCGGTGTCATAGCTTGCCCATGAGCCCAAAACACTTTCGATTCTCCATGGATCGCGCGGCAATCGTTTTCGGGCAGCGATTCCCAATGTTCTGCCCGTCTTCCCAAGGTTTTGTTCCACTGTTCCACCCAATGGGCGTCCGCAATTCCAGGCGTCCGCAGTTTCTCTGCCAACCGTCAACCTCGCCTGAGCGTACTGTCGCCCGTCGAAGTGCTTGGTGAGGCAAAGGGAAATGTCGTTCGTTTCCATGCAATACCTGCGCGCCATGGCTGCCTATGTGAGAGCACATGTGCTAGCTTCATATCACGAGGGTTTCCACCACCCAAGGAAAACCTCGGCTGTTTTGGTGTCACTCGCCCCAGGCACCCTTGAGGGATCTCCGCAGTTCGATCATCTGACAGGTTTCAACTTCTGAAGCACCAACCGGCATCTTTTCTGCATTCCGAATCCAAGTCGGCCCCAAATCAGATGAAGAGGCTCGGATCAACCAAGCTCGACCCTTTTGATTTGGGTTTCAAGCTGGACCCTAGAGATTTGGTAGTCGGCCCTTGGGTTTAAAGATTCACAGCATCGACCCGGAAAGATTTAAGCCCTGTCGGGGAGTTACAGCCCAGAAAGCCCACGCCCCCAACCCGATCCATGCTTTAGAGCCACAGTCGACTGTGCAAGCCAGGCGCCAAAAATGAGGGACATTCATCGAATCCACAGCGCAATAATGGAAGACACATTTTCGCAAAATCTTGGACGTATGCTCCAAGTTTTTGTGTAAGCACATGCAAGAGGGAAAGACATGGGGGTTGATCAATATTGCTGGCCCCCGATGACCATGGGTAACTTCTCCCATTTGGTGGGACATATCATCTTTTCAGCGGGATGACCCAATGGTGTTGATCAACCCCCGCTTCTTCGGGGACACTGACCGAAAGAACGAAGCCCTCGGAAGGACCCTGCTGGAAATTAGAAATGGCTGCATGGGTAAGCACAATGCCCAAAGGACTCCTTCAACTTCTGGCTGGGTGCCTGAATATCTGATCGCAGTGAGTCCAGGCTTCAATGTGAAGTCTATTGTCCTGGGTTCATAGAGACCTCTTTGCTGATGATTCCTACACCATTGAGGAACACACACAAAAAAAAAAAAAAACGACTGGCGCCCCTTGATCTTCCGAAGCAGGCGCACGGCAGAGCCAGGGTGCGCTTGCCTGCGGATGGCTGTGTCAACTTCCTGGTGCCTTGCGCTCGCTTCCCAACTTTTAGCTTATTAATTTATATATATATATATATAATATATACATAGATAGATATCCAAGTTTGAACATGCTCATGTTCCGGCGTGTGTGAGCTTTGTGACGTGGAAACGGTTTCCTGCCATCTTGCAACAACCGAAAACGGCTTGAGCTCGACAACCCAGAGAACCAAATCTGACACATGTCAGACCTGCAATTTTGCGGGCATGTCACAATCCGGCGGAGAGGTACATCCGAGCATCCGCTCACACAATCCTACACCGTACACGGCGGGTAGCTATTTTCAGCAAAAAAACAACATCAAGCAAATGTCAGAGCTCATGAATCGAACACTGAAAGCGAGCCTTCTTCATGGACCAAATGGTAGGGTACATCGTCGTCCACAAAGTCCAGAAAGGCTTGAATACCTGCGCTCGAAGGTGTTGCAATTCGAACATGCCAAACAAAAACTGCAAGTCGGACATGGAGCCAGCTTGTTTGTTCCTTGGGTTGGCCATCTCTGGGCTAGTTGGCTGGTTCCACAAGCTATTCAAGTCTAATCCTCGGTGTCACTTGGGCCTCGCTTGCTAACATGGAAAAAAGCTGGAAACAGGAGCCACACTCCAGAACCGACCGGTCCATGCTCAAAGTGCCCAAAAAGTAGACTAGTGCTTTCTAGAGACACCTCCATCCAATTTGCGTGAACCCCAGGATAGTAATTTGCCACTACCGGCGTTGATGCAACGTGCCTAGGGGCAGAGCAATGATGACACCGTTCCATAGGCAATGATCTCAAAATTCATTACCACGTGTCAATCTTCGAACACTCTGCACGCGTTTTTCGGATGGCGCCTGACTGCGCGGCAATCTCGGGGGTGCGCTCAGTGACTGAGAATTGAGGGGTGAGCCTCAGCGTCGCAAATTCCGAAAAACCTAAGCGAGAGCTCTCACCCTGCAGCTTCTGCGTCTGGAAATGACTGGAAAATATGGAGAGCTGCTTCGCAGGTGTGCAAAGAAGTCGTAGGGAGCACAAAAGCTGGCCGTCATTTTCGCACGGCAAGTGGGGTGGATGTAAATAGCGACGGCCTTTAAAACTTTTGTGGCCGTTTCTTGTCCCCCAATTCATTGGCTGACTGGTTGGTGCCTTTCAAAAGTGTCGGCTCTGGTGCGGTAGGTACAGATCATCCATACACACATACGCACAATATGTGTCTGTCTATCTATCTATTCCTCCATTTATCTGTCCACCTACATGTACATGTCTACTATAATACATAATGCGTAATATAATGTATATGATATATTGATCTCTCTCTCTCTCATCATGCACAAATGGTAAGGCACGAAGGTCCAGCATAGTCAAACCGCCGTGAGGCGCAAAGGCCAACTGAGGCGCCGTCCATGTCTTGGGACGTGCGCCGAGACTTTGCTCAAGATCGTCAAGGCTCTGCTTGAAGTAAGCCTCCTCCTGGGACACATCCGGTTTCCAGCGGTGCACGGCCCCATAACGTGAAAAACCTAGGGACCACCCCCCTTTCCCACAACCCAAGGGATATTCTGCGAGAACTTTCTCAGAACGGATTTTAGGGCAATGATTTGTTCTTCCCGGGAAATCAATTGGGGTTGGGGGAATAAGAAAGGGAATTCAAGGACACCATGGGAAGGTTCATAGGGCCATTCTCTCATTTCCCACTCAGAACCAGCAATGGTAAGAAACCATGTCATGTGTCTGACGGGGTGTTGCATAACCCTCTAAATTACCATCTCCAAAGGCAACAGGCGTGAGCTGAGAAATCAATTGCCAAACAAGCCAGAATCAAACCCATCTCGTCAGATCCAGCCAGCGTATGACATTGAAACTCGCCCCATTAGACAGCGGAAGAATCAAGACGTGCCCAAGGGCCTGCCAAGAAAAACAATGCAAATAAAGACGCTCGTCAGCAGCTAGCGAAGCAACGTACTGCAAAGTAATTCAACAAAAGGCAAAGCAGGGTCAAACAAACAAACAAACAAGCAAACAAACAAACGCAAACAAACAAACAAACAAACAAACAAACAAATAAACAAAACAAAACAAAACAAAACAAACAAACAAAGAAACACACAAACACACAAACAAACAAACAAACAAACAAACAAACAAACAAACAAACAAACAAACAAACAAACAAACAAACACATTGTACACACATTTGTGCGTGTATGTATAACAACACAACTGTTAATGTGACTGATAATAATACACATTAGTAGCAGCAGCGGCAACAGCAGCAGCCACAATAGTCAGTTCAATTGAAGCACCGCAGGCAGAAACCAGTTTCATTACTATTTGGCAAAGCCAAAACAAACCGAAACACCTCCACTAAATGAGTGCAAAGGTACGAATCGCAGAACATCAGCTGCAATGTAAAACCTGAAGTCAGGAATCCCCAAGCTGTTCGTCTTAACCGGAACATCATGACCCCAGCCAAATAGGGAAAGCCATGAAGTGGCCAGTAGCTCCTCACCGCGGTTCATCTTGGCAGCACCTGAAGAATTGTTGACGCCATGCGCCTCGGTGGCAAGACTGCCCTCCCTGAGGAAAGATAACACCTGGTTCTTCAACCGTGTGTTGGGTTCTATGTCAATGCGCTAGCCGCCACCAAATCCCGCCCAGAACAAGAGGACAAGCGACCCGACAGGGGGGCACCTGGGATATCTTCCTTCTCATGTGGCTCACTGGGAGGAGCAAGCAACGAACGCAACTGCAGTAACGCCAAGGCGACGGTCGAAACTCCGACTTGAAGGGAAATAGTCATGGGTCTTGAAGCCGCTTCAGTGGGTGGTAATGTGGGGGTGATTACTAACGGCCCGCGCCCAAGCAAATTGGTCGCTAGGGGTCAAAATCGGACCTGCCCTAATTTTGCCCAAGTAGCCGTTGGTCCTCTTCTGTCCCCTCGCCAATCCAGACCCGCAAATTGCTGCTCCAAACCGTAACTAAGCAAAGCAGGGACTTTGATACAAACAGTAGAAATCAAACACATGTTTGCAACATGAATTGTGGTTTAATGTTGCTGTATTACGGCTTACTCATGAGTCTGATGATATATAATGAGTTTCATATTACTTGAGTTATTATAACTATCCGGCATTTCTCATCTGCTTTCCTCCTTGCGTCGGGGAAACCATGTTGGAAGAACTTGTCTGCAATCCCTCTCCACTTGCTAATCGCCAACCAACATTCCTCGCCTGATTCACTGAATATTAGATATGAGTCATAAGCATGCGTCGATTCGTGTAGCACATGTGGTTCTCTACTCGCGCAAGCATTTGACTCTCCCAGATGCGTACATCGCGGGAGTGCATCTCATCGGGGCCCCAGCACCCACCTCCCAGCCGGCGTCCGTGATCGCCTATGCGGCGCCAAAGTCGGAAGCGGGGAGGGGGGTTGGCGCCGAACTAAATTCTTGCTCCAAAGTATCCAGCCCCGCAACCGTGGCTATTAGAAACCAACAGCGACCATCCTTGGCGAGCCAACATAACCTGAAGAATCCACCCTACAGTCCTGTGGGAAAAAACTCTGACAAAAACATGCTCGGACGGACTATTCTCTCGCAGAACCCCCCTTTTGGGGCTCGGCTTTGTGATAGATGGTGCTAGCTTTCAGTGGATACCGCAAACACCCTCCTATCGGTAGGATCTCAAGGAAGTTGTTGGGACATTGTCCAATTTCCGGTTTTGAACGCGTCTGTCTTGCCAACCTCGGCCAAGCCCACAGCCAGAGGGCCAGAGGCTAGAACTGCTTTGCGACTTCTTGGATTCCCCAATAAAACCCCAGCTGGGCTAGCTGGAGGTCGCTCGCCGAGTTCAAGGGGTCCTCGAATCGCCATCTTGGCCAAGTGCAGGCCGATCCAGCCAGCAGCGAATCACACCCCAGGTTTGATTGCGCCACTGCTGATGAGATCCCTCCGCCTCCCAAGTGGTTTACAGCAACAGCAAAGATGGGGCAAACTTGCGGCAGAGATGCAGCTCCTGCAGCCAACACATACAACGTGTTCTGTGTCCTGGTTCCGCTGACGAAAAAAACAGAGAGCACAAGTGCTTGCTGTCCATCGCCAAGGCTCAATGCATAACGCATCTACACAAGAAGCAGCCATCCAATGTTTATGAATGTTTGCCGAGTCCAGCTCAAGCAACAGTAAGAGCATTGCACCATGGGCAGTCCATCCCCACAAAGTCACAAAGCCCTCTAAGTCCACAAGAAACATTCCAGATTTGTTGTTAGGTGGCCCCCAAGCCGTACAAAGGAATCGGCCATGGGATTGGAATTGTATTGTACCTGGCAAAGCCTTGGGTCTTGAGTCGCGCAAAGATTTAGCATGGGAACCCCTTCCAAAACAAGAAAGACAACAGCTAGCAAGTAACCTTAGGATACTCTGAAACAACTAGTCTGTCTTTAGTCCGTAAGGAGGCAATCCCAGTGGCCAAACGGAGTGCGTCTTGCATGTTTTTTTTGAGTTCTCCAGCTGCAAACCCTGGAAGGAGAAAAAAGATGCCCATCTTCCTCTTTCTTGCGCGTGATAGTGGTTTTCTCTGGCCTGCCTACGGCTTGTCATTTCAATCTGGCGATAGCTTGACGACCTCAAGCCCCAAAGCCCTAAACGCCGAATTGGAGCACCCGTTGAACGCTCCAGCGGGCGCAGTGCTTGCTTTAACGCTAAACGCGTAACGCTCAACGCTCAACGCCCCGGGATTCAGATGGAATCCCAGCGGGGACGCCTTCCAACGGTTGTGTCTTACCGTGGGCAAACGCAACTTGAGTCAATCCGCGGGCGAATGACAGATTTTCCGTTGGGTCTTTGGGTCGAATTCGGTATGTCAGATTTCGATCTGACATAACTTAGGTTGTGGCACTGTGCCTCAACACGGCAACCGGATCTGGTGGTGAAAAGAGCAGCTTGCCCGAAGCCTGGTGTGTTCAGCACCCTTTTGCCACACTTAGCAAAACTCGCATGTCAGAATTTCTCAAGGTATATATCCCCAGAAGCCACACCTCAAGAGGTGATTCTCACTCTGGAGCGGTCGACTCGAAACAGAGGAACCAAGCAAAGCAACCAGGTCAAGAGGGTTGACTGGACTTACCCGGAGCAAGTCATCCTAGGTCCTCCAGTAGAGAGGCTAGAATAAGGGTACCCTTTTCTTCTGTAGTCTATTTAGGTGAACCCTCCCAGTAGAGAGGCTAGAATAAGGGTACCTTTTTTTTCTGTAGTCTATTTAGGGGAACCCTCCCCAAACAAAGGAACGGTAAAAGCGCACTACTGGACCTAGCATCCAACCAAGTGGAGCCCCAGGGCTCCAGATGGGCCCCGCAGGTCGCCTTGTTCACTTTCTCGACCTTCGCTGCTTCGCTGTTGATGACGGCAGTGGCTGGGATGCCAAGCTCCTACGTAAGGCTTCGCGGCTTCGCGGGAAGCTGGAACATTCCCAGGGCCGGGCATGAAAGGATATTCAAAACATCGCACAAACATGGGTTGCGTCCTGTTGGCAGCTGCCTGGCGAATAGAATGGAGCCTTTTAAGGTCTCCAAGTTGTGTGACGTGGGAGCTGCCTGATTGAGCACGCCCTCAGGGACTCACATCAAAAGCTCCAAGAGCAACGCGCGTTCGTGCGCATTTTTGTTAAAATATATTAGGTACCCTTTCCAGGTCAATTTTTTTTGGAAAGCCCGTCGGAACAATTTCTGAGTCCAAGTCCCTACTTCGACCACGCAACGCATCGCGTTGCGCGCGTTTAGCGGGTCCTTGAACATGCGAGCCAGGCGCTCCAGGCCGCGCTGGTTGCCTTAGGCTTGAGGCTGACGTATGAGGCTCAGCCTATGAGGCTCTGTCTTTTGGTTGGGACCCCCTCCAAAATAGTGTGCTCTCCTTGGGCTTTCCTTTAAAAAAAAGAGAAAAACACCAAAAGGGGGGTTCCCCAAAAACGACACACCCAAAGCTCTTTGTGAATAAAAGCAAACCATGGCTCCCTTGTCACGAGGCTTTCAAAAGCCCTTCGAGTCGTGGCGAGCAACTAGTCAAGGGGTGAACAAGCACAGTCAACAACCTCAAGTTGATGACATCTCCTGGGTTGCTTTCTGCTCCCCTGCTAAAAGTTTAACTTTTCGTGGTTTAAATGGAAAACCCATTCTAGTTGGCAAAAAGTTAAAGTCCCAACATCCAAGCAAAATGAACCAAAGTCTCCTTCTCGACTCCCGCAAGTATGTGACTTCACTGAAGGAAAGCGCATGGCTCGCCGCGAGCTGACGACTGTGGCCACGACCATAGTCACGCCAGCCCCGGTTCGCCACTTCGGGCACCTGACGGCGCAGCATGGAATCCCATGGATTTGGCCCCTCGCATGTTGTGGAAAGCACAAGAGAATTCAACTGGAACCTCAATCTTGGGTGCGGTTCAATTGGAGTTGGCTCCCCTTTTCTGGTTGTTTTAAAGGACGACCAAAAGGAAAACCAACCGTTTGTGGGTCCCCTCAACAAAAGACACTCCCATTCCTCGTGGCCTTTGGTGGCACAGGCTCTGACTCGCCTTTGGTAGCCTTCGGTGGCATGGGACGTACTCTGAGGTGACTGCCGATTGCAAGTGGGGCTGGACTGAAGGTCCACCGCAGCCGGGCACAAAGACCTCACGCTCCGCGTTGCGATTTTTGAGCACAGCCTGGAGCGACAGCAGCCTGTCCAAACAAACAAACTGTCACAGCTGTCCGTGGGAACATAGATGGCCCTGGTGGATTGTGAAACAACTAGGTCGACGAGGAATCATCATCTATTTTCCGAAAAGGATACCCATGCACACAGTTTTCAGGCCAGAGAAGGGCCTACAAACCACGGCAAACGGCCCCTGCCATGCTGCCGTGCACCATTTTGAAACTGGTTGAAGCCATTGTTTGTAGGTATTATTTGGTATTTACGCGGGAATCATCAGAAACCAGGGTTTCTTAGGTGCAGGATATCGTCCATCCACAGCATGTCTATGGCCATCATGGAACCGCATTCTGGTTCAGCCCAGGCATGGGTCCCGGACGCACACCTACAGACACACGGACACGTACAAATGCGGACAAAAGGAAGCGGGCCGCACTTGATTGTAAGGGAGCCTGCCCTGTCGTCCTAAGACAAAGCCCAAAGTGGGTAACAAATTTAATTGCCACAGCAATCAACCAACAAGCTAGAACTTGTGCCAGTTCATGCCAGTTCACTCCGTCGGGGGGACTCAGGCCAGGACCTCGACGTTCACCACAGGAATGACGAACACCTTCTTGCCGGCACCCCAACCTGGCTTGACCTGCGCAACATCGAGCCAAAGGCGAACTTGGCGAGAAGCCCGGCGGAGGATAGCTTCGCTTTCTGCTCGCTTTGGGTTGAAATGAAGGAAAATGGCAAAACCGCAAACGGGTTGACGGTTGGATAAGCCTGGCAGTGCAGTGACCTGGTCACTGCAATGCTGGACTCTGGAACCCTCTTTGATGGAACATCCCGATTGACATGCCGGCGAAGGGCCCGGATTCGCCATCGATGACCAGTGACAGTGACTCATGATGTATGTCAACACGTCAGGGATGTCACGGCATGTCACAAAGCAAGCCCTGCCAAAAAGCAAGCCCTGCCAAGACCAGCAACACCAAGTGGCTGCATTGGGCAGCTGACAGCTTTGGATAAACTCAGCGCCAGCCAGCTGTTTTTTCTGATCTTCGCACTGAGGACAGAGATGTGATTGACCTCCAGTGTGCAAGCCTCACGGGCTTGACTCACGCTCACAGGAAAGCTTGGGGCTCGACGCTGCCCCTGTCTGCGTGAAGCTGGTTCAAGCCAGGACCCCCCAACTTCTTCAACCGAGTGGGGTTGTGGAGAATACAACATTGTTCAGATTGATGATAGATCCAGTCCTTGTTGCCAACCTATTGATTGACACCGAATCTCATGACATAGATCGAGAGTGTCGCAGGACAGGTAGGGACAGCTTTCAAAAAGCTGTCGACTGATTAGTCAACAATTCAATTCGCGCACTGAGGCACACAGTTGTGCTTCAAAATAGGGGGACCCCAAATTGGTGGTTTTCCTGGGTTTCCTTTGAACAGAAGTGAAAGGGTACCCTCAAAAGACACACACTCATATACATCATTGCCCTTCAACTCATTCTTTGGGACACGGCAGGCTCCGTTTCATTGAAAGATCCACAAGGATTATTCTTGTGCGATAGAGATCTACAGGCGTGTTCGGGATGAAACCAACATATTGGCCAAGCAAGCTGTAGGTAGCAGTACTTGCTGAATCAAGAAATCCAGGCGTAGCAGGTACATCAAGGAAGTCCCGCAACTCCAAAAAAAGACATGAAGCATCCGAAGAGTGGAACTTCCAGAGATCCCACAGACATCGTATGGGATGTGTTTGCTTGCAAAACTGGTGGTTGCGTGTGACCCCTTAAGCAAGTTCACCAAGGTAGAGAGTTTTAGCGCACAAAAGGTCACCAACCTGAACAAGAAGGACATCAAAAAACATTGGGTGTTATCAAGTCTTATCTTTACAACCCCTTGGTATGGTGCCAAAAACTTTGTCGTTTGCAGCCATCTACTAAACATAAAGCGAACCAACAAACTAACAAAACTAAACACCTGCCAGCAACAGTGAGGTTCTGTCGTGCGTGGGCTCCTATAAATACCACGAACCCCAGCTCTGAGGGATGTAGCTCTGCCTGGTCTTGCTCGATATGCGGAATGCCACCGCAGATCTCCCGATGCGTCGCCGTGCTTTTATGGGTGTGTCTTTGTTTGGGGGCACCTCCTTTGGGTTAATTTGAAGAGCAATCAAAAGGGAAACCACTTTCACTGTGGGTCAAAATGGGTACCCAAAATTGATCCCTGTAAGGTAACATGGACTAAACCCTGCAGTCCCCTGGTGGTTTCATTGTGACCCACACCCACCACGTTTTCGGGGGTACCTTTAAAGAGACAACTCGTATGAGCACAAGGGGCCGATTGTTGTCATCTATGTGGCGAGGTCTGGTTGATCTGCGCAGATAAGGCCTGGACGCCCAACTCAGTACTCTTGGGGCATCTAGGCATGAAGCCAATTGGAAAAGCTTCGGCCGACGCTGAATTTCGCACCTTGCCCGCGCTGCGCGATAGATTTCCTTGTGACATTCAATACGGACACTTGCAAATGGAGATCCTATGCAGTCATCAGGAGTTGTCAACGATGTTCATTCACTACTTGCCTACGTCGTCTCAGAAGCAAGAATATTGCATGTCCACCAACAAATACGCGGTCAACACAAAGCAACTTCCGCCATGTTTTTAGACAAAGGTGACCAATTCTCAAGGTGGACCCTGTTTTTTGGACCCCACAACGCTGTTGGGGGCACACACAGTAAGCTATGGTGAGATTGAGATCAATCAGCAATCCCAGGGTGTAATAGGGAAAACCCTTCAACAGACACACCAAATTGAGGTCCTTCGGATTCTTTCTCGCATCGCGCAGTTCGGTTCGGCGCTCAGTCCACAAAGCACCACACCTCAGTGTCCTCCGGGGCTGGATGGCAGCCTCGGATCGAGGGATTTGGACCGCCCAGCTCCAATTCGATTCATGGGACCTCAAACAGCCAGGTTTTGAGACCCCCAAACACCGAAACGGGGTGTCCAATGGAGGGGTTAGGTCTTCCATTGAAAGCCCCAGGAGTGTCTGGGCGGAAGGCAGCATTGGGGGGCTGCTTACTTCGGGCTTGTGCATCACAGAACACCTGCCTCGGGCTGAAACCAAAACCCAATACAAAAGAATCCATATGTTTCTTGACTGTTGCTGTTGTTGTCCGGATGTGTTGTATGTTTATACCAAAAATCAGCTACAACCAGAATAGCAGGTAATCAGCCATGATCCATCTGAAAGGGTGGTGGCTACAGAACCTTACAGGCAGATGGAAGCACTGGGCAACAAACACCTGCCTCGGATGCCCAGACCAAAGATCATTTGCAAAGACTCTGGCCCATGGTGAACTTTGGGCTGCCCGTTTTCTGATCCCCCGCCAAAAGCGACAAACTTTCGTGGTTTAAATGGAAACTGCCACCAAACACTAGGCCAAAAAGCTAAGTTGAACCGGATGTCCTTCGGGAGCCACCAAGAGAGATCCCCGACCTCGCGAGTTCAGGCCGCCACGGCTACACAAAGGACTGCGATCTGTCTGTGACAACCTCGAAGGCGCAGCTGATTGACGGCTTCCGAGCTTGCACAAAGGAACCCATTTGGGTGACTCTATTTTAAGGGGACCCCCGAAAACGAGTTTTCCTTCAAAACCAACCAAGAACGGGGTACCCCGTTCTCAAGACAACTTCCCGGTTGTTTTCGACCCGTTTCGGGTCGTCCCCACAAGGCTGGATGACCGAGCAGGTTCTGAGCTCGGCACAAGATCTCCCCGGCAGCGCCGCAATTTGTACATCGTGTCGGCCAGACCCTAAGCGCGAGTTGTGCTTCTCAAATGGCCATGGGTCGAAACCCCGTACCCCCAATGAACATCCCAATCCCCACCAAAATAGGTTCTAAAATGGGTGGTGAATTCACCTATCCCAAAATGGGATCCAAAACGGTTTTGAACCATGGCCAAATCCAGCCCAGGACTCCCCTGACTTCGTGTTGCGCGTAAAGAGCATCCTCCGAGGGCCTTCAAATCGGTGGAGGGGTCGCCTCAAAATTTACATGGGCATTGGAGCAAAACAAATTGCGGGCATCCAAGATCATGAAGCCCAAATGAACGAAAAACACCTGCAAATGTAAGGCTGATATTTAAAGCTCAACACAAACTAACTTTGAATCGAATGGCGGTGACTCCTATTCAGCTGAGACTATGAACCATTGAACAGTGCTCTCAGGGTAGGGGCCCTGCACAAAGCAAGTTTCCCACCGAGAGCTTGCAGCCATTCACAGTTCTGGCAGGACAAATGCCAGCCGAATATCTGCGAGGTCCGAGAGAAAGATGGTTTTCTGCCGTCAGAATGCAAAGACTCAAATTTGACTTTCGGCTCTGCGCTCGACAGAGCGATTTATGACTTGAAGTCCATGCCATGCAATCCCAAATAAACACATTCACCAAAGTTCAGAACATTACATACGGCTACATGGCTATGTTCGCACAAAGGGTCTCCCTTTGAAGGGACCCTCTTGGAAGAGGAAAACCAAAAGAAAGCCGCCATTTTGTAGGGACTTGCCTAGTTTTTAGATAAACCCAAACATAGGTCGGGACAGCGCAATATTGAACCTCCCAGATTGACCAGATTGATCTGGTTCTAGTGCTGTATGACAAATAAGCGTCCAAAAGCCTAAGATGCTAACCTCAACATCGCTTTCTTGTGGCAAGCTCGAACCAAGAACAGTGACCATCTCAAATACCATCTCAAATCCGCAAACCCAGGTGCCCGAGCCTGACTTTGAACATCTAAAATTCCATGTGACTGGTTCGAACTGGTCCCTGATCGCCAATCTGATTTTCCGCAATTCGCGGTGGGACACCATGGGAAAACCAAAAAATCTGGCAGGATTTTGGATGGATGCCGAAGAACCGAGGCCGTAAAGGGTCCTGGTTGATTGAAATGGGGTACAGGGGGTCACTGGATTGCCCCAAATCAACAGTTGATCCATTGATCGGTGATCTCCGTTGGAACTATCGCCGCTTTTGGAGGCTCCGGGGTCTGGCAAAAGGTGGCAAAAAGACCCTTCCAGTTGTCTAGTGCTACCTTCCCCATTCTTTGCAAGGATCCTTCTTTCGAAAACCTCCGGAAACCCAAGAAAACGGATCCGGCTTTCGAAAAGAACGATGGTTGAAAAGAATAGGGAATGAACCCCTGCAGAAACCAGTAAGGAAAACCTGAAAAAAAAGAAGAAGAAAACATTTGGGAGGTCCAACCTTCAAAAAGGCAGAACCATTCGGGAGAACGAACCGGGGTATCCAGTTGGTCAGCTGATCATCTTCATCGGGATCCATCCAGGCCATGGGCTCTCGCTTGGCCCGTGCCAGCACTGCAGCGGGAACTGAGGAGGGCCTGCCATCTGTTGCCACAGCGGATCCATTCTTGGTTGTCGTTGAAAGGGGAGCAACAATTTAAATTTTAGCAGTTAAGTGTGGTTTTCCCACTAAACCACAATAAGCAAGAATGTAAAATGTTTCCCAACAACAACCATGCATTTGCCTGATATAAAAGCCAAAAGGAAAATCCACTGGTTGCCTACTATACGGGTAACTGGGATCCACTGTGTTGGGGAAACTGTCAAAACTCAAAGCCCATAGCCTGTTGGACTGTG